GTGGCGGGGTCAGCGGCGCCTCATTTTTTTTTGTCACCCCGTCCCAGTCACGCTGCGCCCGATTCCATCCACACCGCCGACGCCGATGCCGTTGCTTAGAGTGTGGTACCCCCGCCTCGAGCAAAGGACGTAGCGTGCATATACCCCGCTCACCACCAGCAGGACCCCAGCGGCTGGGCGCTGTCGATCCTCGCATACGAGCCGCGGATAGACAGGCGGTAAACGTAGACGCCAGAACGGGAATGGCATGCTGAAGTATCCGCCGCAAGCGCAGAGTACTCCGTCGCCGCGTGCGTAAGAAGGCCCGTCTGTCGGGCCCCCTGACGCCCGTTCAGGAGCAGGCCGATTGCGAGAGGTTGGTGGCACGCGGATCGTGGGCGGGAATGAATGAGAGGTCAAACAGCCAGGTGTGGAGAACCACACTCTTGCTCTCCTGCTCGCGTGGTCCTTTGCGCTGTTCTCGACGGCGGTGTCGCCTTGCACCGCGGGACGTGGGATGCGTCGTTCGTAGTGGGTTGTTGGAGGTCAGGTGGGAAAAGAGACGCGACCGGCTCACGGCGACGGAGATCTCGGTAGCTTCAGATGTCATCACTAGTAGGATGCGTTAGGGTCGTGATAAACGAGTGCAGTCGCAGAAAAGACAAGGGGAAAGTATGGACGGGGCGAGTGAGGCGTCAGGTTCATGGAACGACGGGCCTTTTATAGAAGGAAAGAAAGAAGGAAAGTGAAAGCAGGAATTGCCGCCCAAAGGAAACTGGTGCTCCTCTTTCGGAGAAAAGAAGAAATCCAGAAAAAGCACTCACAATTCGCGCTTGCGCCGCTTGATCGCTATATCTTGTTGTAAATGGAGGTAGGGGTGATCGCTACGAACGATCTCAGAACTTCCGCTATCTTTGGTGCCAAGGACCGGCCGAAGTACTCAGCCGCTGCTGACATCCTCTTTCTCCAACGTTCCAACCGGGACCAAATTCGTACTCGAGACCCGCTGGGCGTTGCGCGTCGGTTTGCGTGATCCCCAGGTAGATCAAGAGCAGATTGTAAGAGCCATGGCAGTGGTCGCAAAGTCGAGAGACTGGAGCCTCGAATGCAAGTACCACAGGATATCACAAAGTGTGGTATTGTATTCGACCATCCCAAGGAGTAGCATTCAATTGAATTTTGCCACTGAGGCCTGAGGGGTAGCGAGCCCAACACATCCAGAGCATCGAGAGACTTCGTCGTTCGAGAAAGTCACGGTGACAAAAGGCGATTGCACTGCCACATCGGAAGTCGGTCCGAGATGCGACCTTCCGTGTCTACCCAGCAAATCCTTCGGCGTATTCGACTTCCTCATTCATCTCGAGCGCAATAATTCCTGTTAAATGCCACGCTCAAATGCAGTTGCAAATCCCAGAAATATATTATTTACATCCAATTCCCGCTAACTTACCGCTCTCGTGAGTCCCAACCTTCGCGCCGAGTGAATAATGGAGGACGAGCGTGCAGAGGAGGGACACTATTCTGAGGTCCAACACTCAATCAGCCTGTCCATTTTGTCTCTTCTGGTATCCTGATCATCGTCGGTGTCGGGTAAGGGTCCGCATTCCTGTGCCATGGCCGTCAGCATATCGGCTGCAATCCCAAGTAGCCTCCTGTGTTGCGCATCGTCGCCAGCGACTTCCCGCGCATGGGCCGCAGCATCCTGAAGGGCTACAGAAAGGCGCGGGTAGAAGAGCGCTTTAAATTCGGGCGATGGGACATCGATGGTGAATATGTTTGTCGTTCCTTTTGCCAACGAGGCAAAGCATTGTTTGTTGATGGTCCCAAAGTCGAACTCTCTCCAAGAGCTCGCCAGCGCAGTGAAGAGCAATCCCAACGTCTGCTGTGTACCGCTAGTTTCGTCGAGTACATCCGCTGTGTCGCAAGTCGCACCCCAGACGCGACCGAGCACGGAATTGAACGCGTGTATGTGCTCGTCCACGGCATCTGAGGGCAGTACAACTGGATACAGACTGACCAAGACATGAAGATCATCCTTCATGGTCGATATCCAGAAAGGACTTTGTGAAAGCGCCACTGCCAGTCCGATGTATCGTGTTCCGAAGGGAAATCTATAATGTTCAGTGAATCGTCCGATGCGTTGCCAAACGGAGGATTCTTTTAGAACCCGCTGCAGCCGGGCATCCTGGAACCAGTTCGGCGCGTCGATCAGGAAATCAACTGCACACGACGTTTTGGTATGACTTTCGCTGAATAGCAGTTTTAAAATACTCCCAAGAAGCCGGTCACTAGGCACCACACGGGAGAATTTGGGGACATCGATCAGCGCTTGGTGAAGAGTTTGGATCCGGAAAAGGTCCTCGAGGGCGGCAGGATTCGTCTCAAGAGGAGACAGCACATGTTCCAATGCATCGTAAATCCACATCACTTCATCAGGGGAGGGATTGTTTGGGGAGGAAGACGGATATGCGTCTATGATGCCATCCAAAGCCAGAGAGGGAATGTGCGCGAGCGGGAGGGCCGAAAGCATGACTTCGATCCATCCGTCTGGGCGGGCCCGGGATACTGCGCGGCAAAATTTGTATATACGTGGCTTGTTTGCAGAGGGTGGGATATGTCCGTAATGCCAATGGGGTGAAACTTTCTGCCAAAATGACGCAGTGGCCTTGAGCAAATTCAATGAATTCATTGGGGCATCAGGATGTTTGTTGTTGGGATATAAGGCAAGTCGCCGGAAAAGGATGTCCAACAGGTCGGCCCAATAATAACTACCGACAGATGTGTTAACCAGCAAATGATTTAAACGGCATGCGGACCGACCTCTTGTCCGTTACCGCAAGGTCATGGTCATCTGGCGAATGGCCAAGAAAACAGATGATGCAAAATAACCAGTCTGTGAAGACCGCTCGGTCAAGAACGGGTATTATGATTTCAGCAGGGTATTTGTCAAGAAACTTGCTCAATTGACCCTGTAGGTCATCGTCAGACCAAGAGAAACGACCATGATACAGTGTTTGTGGATAGATGCGTAGGGCCCATCTGACGGAGGAATAGGAAGAGCTACGTCCACGGTGGAATGGGGGATAACCGTCCAAGACGAGATGGACGTCCGCCCAATCGTGGTCCAAGTTAGTATATGTGATGTATGTCATGGCGGAGGGGAGCGCCACTGGGTCGGGTCGAAAGGTTGATTTTTGGGCTACCATACAAAGTAGGCCGTATGCTCGTCCACATTCAATAGCTCGATCCACTATAGCTCGATTGACCGGAGAATGTTTCAACTTTACAAGGTTGCCCGATATTTCAACGCAGGCCACGTACGTGTCCCGCAAACGGATTATCGCCGATGTAAGATCGACATCCGAGGGCCATTGAAGTTGCATCGATAGAGCCGCGGCCATTGTTATCAATTCAGGATCCGTCGACGTTTCCAAGATCCATAAAACTGCACGGACAGCCGGCGAGACATGGATGCGATCGTGATCAAAAAGGGGCGGCTCGGGTTGCCGCGCGAATTTGGACAGTGAAGGCGGGTTAGAAGTCTTTCTGCGTTTTATGAAGAACGGCAGCTCCGATCGTATATGAGGACGAGTTTTCGCCCAGAACTGGGTGACAATGTCGCAAATTTGTGGAGTGGCTGGTTCGTCTCCCGTTCCGGAGATTGATATGGTGCCGGATTCGTTGGATTCACCGCTGGTGGAAGGAATCAACGAATGGAGAAGCGCTCCAAGCGGGGTTTGGAAAGGAGAGTCGTGCGACATGACGGAAGAAAAAGCCAGAGAGACATAGAAAATCATTCCCAGCGATGTGAGACAAAAGAAGATGACGGCGATAGACCGATTTATTGTCCATAGGTATATCGTCAACGCGACGCAGAAAATAAGCAATGAGATTTGCAACAGAAGCGGGAATGTTTGCATTACTGCATCGAAACGCCATCTACGCAGGCCGTCGAATTTCCTTTGCCGTTCGAGTCCACGTTGCTCAGCTGTCCCTCGGCTGCCCACAACTCGGTAAGACATTAGCCATTGCCTGCCGAGGACGGCCAGGAGCGCGACAAGAAGGGTGGAGCAAAGGCTAATATAGAGGAGACTCTGCACGACCACAATTATTGCTGGAGGCCCCGTCCACTTCGGCAGTAGAATATCGGACTCCGAAAAAACAGATCCATTAACTGCGTGGATCAAGATTCGGAGAAGCGCCTGATCCATTTCTGGGGATTTGGTTGAAGGTCTGGCTGAACTAGAATGATGAAGGCCGATGTGACGGCCGAAAAAAGACCAGCCTAAACGAAATCAATTATGAGTTACGGCTAGAAAATGTCATACGAACAAAGATTATGGATGCATCGAGATCGCTGTTGTATATGTCGTGCAGCTCCTTGTCATGATCATCTGCCACCATTTTATAGGCATTCCAGAACCCAGTTTTGGCGTCTGTAACTTCTACCTTGGGCCGGAGACCCTCTAACAAGGTTTGGAATCCGGTATTGAGGGCATCTATCAGCCTGTAGTAATGGTGTCGCGTGAAGTCGATTCTGGGTTTAAATGAGGTACGCACCTCTCATTCTGTGACAACTCATTAGCTTCAGGAAGGAGTGGCTCTCGAGAAGGGCCAGAATCCTGGGTGGCCGGGGCATTGGCATTGGACATCTCGACCGGAGCGCACAAAGGCTGAAAACAGAAGGCAATCAATCTGTGACAGGTCCGTTTTTGCCGAAGCCCAATTAAGAACGTTGTCCGAAGTTGTCTTCTATTACTAAAGACTTTCCTTTGCTTTCTTGAAGATAATTGACTTCAGTAAATCGTTCGTCATAAAATATTTCCGCCATCCTCATTCACCAGCACGCAGAGAGCATTTGAGACCGATTAATTACTCACTTAGCGTTGGATTTTGGCTGCGAGAAAACCTGACAAATTTGCGAGTCAAATGCCACGGCGACTCTTGACAAAATATAGGGAGCGAGACTTATAAATGAAACCAGAGTCGAGTAAAAATAGACACAGGAAAAAGGACAAAAATGACCACCGCAGGGGTCGAACCTGCAATCTCCTGATTTCGGATACCTCATCGTAGTCAGACGCGATGCCATTTCGCCAGGCGGCCATTATGGCTGCTTCTCATCACAAAGGACCAATTCTAGGGCGATCGTATGTGGCAGATATGACATTTGACGTGCCTACCTCAAGGCCTACAGAACTAGTCCCCTTAAACTTAAAGCTTAGCGCCGGCGCTTAGAGCGATGAAAGACCCTCAATTCCATCGTTCAGGTGCGCAGTTCCATTCCGCGTAAATTCCATCTCATCAGGGAAAGCCTCCCCTTTGGCAATACCCCAGTATTGCTGGCCCATCGAATCTCGCCCATCGAATCTAGATCTCGCCCATGGCGGCCCATCCGATTGACCTTTTAAATTCAGCGTTTGTGCTCGTTGGAAATTTGTTCACTGGCAAATGACCTCTGGACATACCAAGTGTAATCTCCCTCGAATCACATCCACAAGCAGAGTTCGTGCCATTTCGTCAGCTTTGCAAGTGACTCGACCGTACATTTATGCCTTGCTTTTATCGCACGAGCTCGCGACATATGGTGCGTCCTCGTTGACGTGTACATGCCTTTCTATTTTGTTGCCTTAAACCGTGATAGCTTCGTCGCGCAGATGATCGAGGCGACTGGTTCGAGGTACGTACCTTGAAACTGGCCCTTGCCAATCTTACAGACTTTCATTTGGGCGTTATGACACCTCAACTTTTTGCACGTTAGCCTCATGTGTCCTCCTGAAGGTGAAGAATATTATAAGACATGTTCTATTATCCGACGAAATAATATACAGGCAGCCCGCCACATTTACAGTATCAGCCTTCAGAACGCAAAAAAATCTATCCAGTGGCCCTAATCTTCCGCACCAATAAACCAAGTCAATAGCCCATGGCACTCCGCGTCATCGAAAGTAGCAAACCCCTCGATTTGATCAGCCTTGCCACCCAATCACCAAAAACAAGGCCCCAAAGCACACCGAAATAGGCCATCCCACCGTTCTACATAACCCGTCAGTATTGTATTCGCTTAAATCATGGGAGCGAGCAACTGACCCGGCCGTTAGTGACGATAATTAGTTCCGGGGAGCCTGTGTACTCCTTCATTTTACCGCCGTCAGGCGAGAGGTATACGAGGATGTTGGCCGCGGCGATCGCGGCGTGGGCGCTCGCCTTGACCACCTGCTTTTGCTCGACAGTGTTGATCGCGTCGCCGATGGCGAAGATATCGGGGTGCGCGAGCAGCTGCATCGTCGGTCGCACCCTGATCTGGCCCCGCTCGTCGAGCGTGTCGGGTCCGAGCGACGTGGCGATGAACTCGGTGCGTGGACGAGGACCTCTCGTCGGAATCTGGAACAAATTGGGTTTACTTTTCAGGCTGTGTGTGGGCGTACGTCGTGAACGTGCTTACAACCAGGTCTGCCTCGATGGCTTTCCCCCTTCGTGTGCGGATGGTTACGCGTCCTGGAGCAGGGATTTCGTCGACGTAGTCTTCGAGAATGACATTGACACCCCGCGCACGGAGGCTCTGTTCGAGCCCTTTTCGGAAGCGGGGTGGATATGTGGCATTCATGATGCCACTGCCTCCGTGCACGATGGTGACCTCTTTTTCCTGCGAGATGTTAGGAATCGGCCGTCGATGCATGGCTAGGAATAACACCTACCGGCCAGATATCTTTAATTTCTCCGGCGTATTCTAACCAATACAAAGGTGAGCAACCTGACCGGAACTACAGGTCAAATAATTATACTTACCTACTCCGACCGCACCTCCCCCGGCCAACACGATCCTCTGCGCTTTCGTGAAGTTTGCGCGATTCTCGTTCACGAACGCCGTGACAGCCTCACTCTTCCACGGGAAGTTCAACGGCCCCTCCCAGACAGAGCCTGGTGCGAGAACGAGGGCATCATACGGCATTCTGGTGCCGTCCGCGAGTACCACTGTACCTCCCCGTTCATCGGGTCGGATTGCAACCACAACACCTTCCACAAAGGTCGCATTTGGTGTGTCTTTTGTGAACAGCTTCTCGTACGGTATCAGTGCGGTGGTGAGCAGGTCATTGGTGTCGGAGACAGTCATTCTGGGAAGTGTCGGAAGTGCGATGGCATAGGGGAGGGGATTTATGAGGGTGATCGTGGTGTGGGGAGAGGCGCGGAGCTTTGGGAGCAACGCGCTCAAGACGGCGATCCCACCGCTTGGGGATCCACCGACGATAACGATGTTGCGGGACTGGGATAGCATTGGAAGGTTCGAAGTTAATGAGGCTTGCGTCCAATTCCAAGCTTTTATAAGGTTCCGCCGGGATCTCCGGTTAAAAGGTTAGTGTCATCTGGATGACGTGAAGGCTGATATCGTGCCGCCTGGCGAGGGATTCGGCAACCTCAGCTGCATGATTGGTAAAGTCGGGCTTGCGAAGTTGACTCAGCGTTTAGGTTTGTAACTTGGATCCATAGATAGGTAATATTCATTTTCAAAAGGTTCGTGTTAGCAATTGACTGTTGATCAACCTTGAAAATAAACGCAACCCAAGGCTAAGTATCTGAAAGAAGGTGCGGCATGGCCTCCCAATCAGCCCGGAAATACACATGGAGCCAGTTCTGCAGGGTTCCGGCATCGAGAGAATGGTTGACCAGAGATGGCGGAGTCTTCAGACGAGGTGTAGTAATTTTATTAAAGATTGAGAATGCTCCGGTACAGAGGAGGTCGTTCAGTTCAGCGCTTTTCATGGCCGCCTGGCGAAATGGCATCGCGTCTGACTACGATGATCGCTTCGAAATCAGGAGATTGCAGGTTCGACCCCTGCGGTGGTCATTTTTTTTCGCTCTTGGTGTTTTTTTTTTTCTCTTACTGTTTTTCAACATTACGTTCGGGATTTTTTTCCTTTCACCGTTGACGTTTCTCTGCCCAGTCATTTTTTCAGCTCGCCTGGACAATGAGGCTGATGACACCCTCGATGCCCTATCTTCGCCAAAAAAAAAAATCGATCCTGTTCAAACTCAATCATTTTGGAAAAAAACAAGGATAGGATTTCAGGATTCTAAAATCATGTACTGTAATGTTTATAGAGGATTCGAGCCCAGAGGAAAATCCAAGGTCGTTCTACAAGTATTGATGGCACTGATGGCCTATCAAAAAAAGGATATTTTGAGATATCACTTCGGCATCTTGAGGTTTCCATCCATGGGTCATAAAAATCTGTAAATGCTCTGGCGCGTACACAATGTGTATGGCTTGTGTTCAAACCTCAGAGCAATCTGAGCAAAATCTGCTCAGTCAAAGGCCTTTTCCACAGGTCTGAGGTAAGTGATCGATAGTACCACATGATAAAGGCCGCCTGGCGAAATGGCATCGCGTCTGACTACGATTCAATTTCACTGTCTTGTAATCGGAATCAGGAGATTGCAGGTTCGACCCCTGCGGTGGTCATGCAAACTAAATTTAGTTCCTTATTATTTGTTTTTTGTTTTTGTTTTTTTCCCTTTGGCGGAGCTCGATATCTCATTTTGGATAGCGTCTACTTTGATTCGTACGACTACCTGACCACCGCCGTAGTATCTCCTCCTCTTCCTGGATCTGCAGGTAGGTCGCAAACTGCTTCCTCGTAGTAAATCTGCGGCTGCCGATCCTCGGGTGTCGGAATCATGTGGGTGAAACATATGTACAAGTACCCGGTGCCGGTCGGAACGGAACCAGCGCGGAACGGAGAAAAACTCGAAGGAGGAGCCTGAGTGAGTGGCCGTTATCAGAGTTTCATTGACTCGGAGTTGAACTGGTGCCAAGACGCCGGTCGGAGGTGAATCCGAATTCACCTAGGGCTGTCCTGAATTTATGAAGTTGTTTGAACGCCGGTACGCGCCGGCCGCGGCGATATTGCTTGCAGGGTGAACTTGAAGCGCAGAATGAGCTTGAACTCCGAGCTAGAGTCGCCATGGTTTGAGTAATCTTGGATGCCCGGGGTATTTAAATTTTAGATTGCTGCTGGAGATCCGCCAAATACTTGAGCCTGCGTCTGGATTTGGCGGGATGAATAACTCGGAAGGGAGTTGGTGCGTTTCATCCTGCCTCTTATACTTACTTGAAATTGCAAATGCTAAAACGCCGGTTGGGGCCGAATCCGAATCCAGCCGGGACCCAGGTATAGTAGCCCGGATTTAAACGTCGGGGCTTGCCGCTCGGTTGCGTTTCATAATTTCTTTTTGCCCGTTCTGGGAAGCGACACGGGGGTCATCTCGCCGACGGCGGTAGTACTTACCAACTTTGAACCACATTTAGACCCCGCCGTCGGAAAAGTCCCGTTCCTCGAAAGGTGTTGTGAAACACATCTTCAAGTGCCCATTGCGATTCATATATAGAGGATCGGAGCTACGCCAAATGCCTGATAGGCTCCTTAGTACATGAAGCCAGAGATAGCGCGAGTGTGGTTGAAACTTGATTACCAACCTTGCGATATTTTTTCTGTCTCAAGTTTAAACTGAACAATATTCCGCCCCCGGTTGCCACTGTACCTTCGGAGTTGAAAGAGTCCGAGCTGTAGCGGTGAAAGGTTTGGATTTCTTGAACACCGGATCGCGGTGTGCTCAGGACACCAGATTGAGAATATTTCTTGACGTGTGGGGAAGCTTGGACGCCGAGATACTTTCTAGGTGAGTTCCCGATGTTACCTCTAGAACATTCAGCGGTAAGTAATTTTTTGAAATCGACCCGTAGTTGAAAGGTAATATATGGGGAAGAACTTGAAGTGAGTGTTGACCCAGAGCCGCTGGGAACTCGTGGCCGCGGGATCCTCCACGACAGGCGGTGAGTATGTACGAATGTCAAGGAAACAAGCACCTCGAATTGGGACGGGCGGCGATCCTGAGGAGTTGGCCTGAAACACCTGAGGTGCACGTTTAACATGGGATCCGGAAGATCAGAGTGCGGATGGATCATCGAGGTTTGTTTAGCAGTGATGAAGTGGGTTTGTGTTGATTATCAGGAAGGAAGTCGATCGCGATGTGGACCTGGTTGAACATTCGGATCTGAGTTGCCAGGCCTTCTATTTTTTTTTCGGCGGTTAGGTTGGGATGGGGATGATTTTCATTCCCTGAGGGCAATTGTAATTGTTAGTGGGCTCAGCGAATCAGGTGTCTCTCGTAGACAGACGCTCACACTTCCACAAAAACAACCTCGGCTTGTCGAAGGAAGAGAGTCCTGCAGGATTTTCCACCGTCTAAGCTTAAAATCAACCAAGTATAGGCGGTCCTCGGTTGGTCCCGAAGATAAACTTCATGGATATCAGATATTTTGCTGGCGAGATCGATGGAGGGTCCAAAACGCAGAGAACTCGACGGAGGGTTGGAGAGCGAATATAGAAGCAAGAGCTGCCAGCTGCAGCTCATGCAGATCGAAGCCTCCATGGCCAGAGCATCTTCTATGCGTTTCGCCACTCGGAAATTCCCGGTCCCGTTTGGTTGCATAATTTATTTTCAACGGATAGATCATGACGCCGGCGCCGTGATAGCGTGTTTGCGGTGGTACCAATGTTGATGAGAAGATATTGAGTTTGGGAGACAGTGGGAGGTGCGAGGTGCGATCATTAGTTTAATTACTTGGATAAACTAGATTTCGAAGAGACGAAGAGCCATGTAAGTTGGGTGATAGAGAGAACGAGTGCGCCACGGATTGTTTTGCAGATTGTTAGAGTTTTGCAGTGGCGTGGGTACCAGTAGAAGAAGAAGAAGAGATGGTAGATGCGATCAGGACTGTAATGAATATGAGATAGATTAGATTTGCGGGGAGACTAATTCGAACGAACGTGCAAATGACCAGGGACGGTAGTTTCAGGTTCAACTTGGTTTGAGGGCAATTTTTAGCCCGGTGCGTCGGATTCGGATCCAAAAACCCAAGTCCGCCACGCGGCATGGACGGAGCGAGGGAAATGAGAGTCCAAGGTCGTTCTGGCACTGGGACTAGGCAAGCCTGAGGTGGAGAATAAATATTCCGCCTCGTCGGACCCCGGATGTATCGCATGATTACCAGTAACTTTCACTGTAGTTTTTGTGCCACCGGGATTGATGATGAAGCCGAAGTGCGCTCAGAGCTCGGAACGTTAACGTGGTTGATTATGATCATCAGCTACAGAGCCCGTTTTTGGTCCGTCCGTATGTATCCCTGAGCAGGACAATGAAACATTGGACACGGTTGCGGCTGCCAAGACGCTGCGTGATAATATAAGTGGAGCGTTCGTGTTTAGGAATAGAATATTTGGGGTGGCAGTTCCCGTCCCGTCCCGCGCCATATTGAATATTGATTTACACTTCCTGCCAGTAGAAGATATTTGGATATTTTTGGTGAGCGCAAATCGAAACGCATAGAAGCCTCTTCGTAATTTAAAGTAAACTTATCCAGCTATTGATCATGGTGACTCGGAAGTTGATACATGCAATTTGGTCGCAGCCAAGGCGTCTTCTATGCGTTTCGAGTGTTTAATTGCAACTTCTATGCGTTTATGTGTTTCGCGCTATATTCCGTCGTGCAGTGGTAGAGCTCCCGCCATAGAATTATTCGTTTTGCTGTATAGTTTGGGGGTGTAGAAGGAAAAAGAGATGGAAGACGCAATCAAGACTAAGGAGCCTAATGAAAAGAAGATTGATGGAGATTTCGAAGTGCCAGAGACTCGGAGACGAAAATGCCATGCAGTTACTTGAAACGTGGGTCGTTGAGTGGACCAGGTGTAACGTGTATCCGTCCCCGTTCGAGGCTTCCAGCATCGCCTCTGAAAGGGAATCGGGATATTCAGGATATACTTATTTGACCAGCCTGAGTTGGATGCGAGAACGAGAACAGAATGAACAAAGTAGCGAGCGTTGTTGCGAGACAAATAAGCTAACTGGCCGACAATCATGAGCTCAGAGCACGCTCGTAACTGGATCGCTTCATGAGACATAAGTTAGAGTCAAATACATATTTATGACGTCACGACCTGATCGCCGATCTCCGCTTCTCTCGGCTCCCTACAAAAAGCTTCCGCTCTGTCTCAACTCAACTTGAATTCTAAACCCAACTCCCTGCCACATCGAAGGTGGCGCGAACAACCGGAAACAGCCAAGGTGGGCCTGCGACATGCATGCTGCCAGCCAGACTCACCGCTCTGACACTCATTCTCCTTAGTCTGGCCTCGACGGCGACGGCGAGACGAGCGAGAATGCAATACACTGTCGCTCTCGGCGCGCGCATGTACTCCGTCTCTTTCTGTTTCCGCGTGCGAGCACGAAGGCGACTGCGGTATTTGATGCGCGCCTTTCATCTAGATTTTCCTTTCCTCGCTGCACGCGACATGATCGCATCGCACAGTCGCAAATGGCACGACGTCTGATGAACCGTCTTGGATGCCCTCAATTTTCCTGCGTGGGGCGTCCTCTCCCACAACAGAGAAGCCACCACAGTGCTCCGAGTAAATCGTGCGCCGGTCAATGTCCTGGAATAGAGACGCCAGGCGTGAGTTCTTTCGCTTAGTGGAACTGTGAAGTGCTTCAAATTCTAACCACCTGCTTGGGATGTTAGTCACAGGTTCCCCCTCGTCACCCTTGCACATATGTATCTCTTGACCAGATCCCTCGTTCACTAGGGATATCGCTCCACACACGTCGGTTCCACTTTAAACCCGGCTCTCATCACCTCGAGGCCAAATCAACGCCCAAAGTAGGACACTTCGCTATTCGTTTCTATTTTTTCTCCGCAGCCGAATAGCTTCGAACTCGCATGTCAATCGAAAATTGCGGATCGGAGCTCGAGGCACACATCATAGATGGCCATGGACGAGCCCAGTTTAGTACCACGTGAGGCGAATGTTCAATCCACCTCTCGGAAACCACTCAGTGAAAATTTCACCTTTCCCCCGTTATGCAGACAGGTTTTGGAACGCTATTTTGAGACTATCATGATGATCATCCGAGACGAGAATGAACTCAACGATCTATCATCTGGCGCTGTGATCATCTCCATGCATCACATCTTACAGAAGCTAACAGCACTTGATAATCTCGCAGCCATCCTCTGGGAGCCCATCCTATCCTTTTCCCTCCCTCTAGTGCCTCCCATAGGAGTAGCATGCCAAACATTTCAGCAAACATCCTTGAATCGCAATATACCGTTAACGCCACTGCATTCACCAGCCTCCGGGATTTCATAGTAATCGATACGTTGGCGACCTGGGTATGTGGCAAGTAGTTGCGACAGCATTTTGCACCGTCTAACACTCACTGATCTAGGTGTCAATCTTTCTTTATGGTGAGAAGTCTCTAGTGCTGTACTTCCAAACGCTAATATGTTCTCAAGCATTTTATCTCAACCTCTTTCTCTTCGCCATCTACACCCTCGCTCGTCGTAAGACAGCAGGAAAGAAAGTGCTGCTAGGTTTCACCTGGACGACGGCCGTTTTGGGAACA